AAATGGCGGGTTCCTCAGATCATTTGAAGCAGCTTCTTCCTTTACAAAAATGTTCTCCGAGGCTTCGTTTACGAGTTATTAACGAAAAACACTGACCAATAAGAATCGAGTACGGCTGACGCGAGGCGGCTCAGCCAACCAGCGCACGAAGCCCAGTTCCGCTCATTGGCTCGGTCGCCTCGCGCCAGCCGAGCTCGCCTCTCATTGGTCACTGTTTTTCGTTAATAACTCGTTAATGGGGCCTCGGAGAAAATTTGTATAATGGGGAAAAGTTGCTTCAAATAACCTGAGGAACCCGCCACTTTCGGATTGCGAGACATTTTTGGGACACCTTGTATCTACACGTACGACGAAGAACATCTTCTGCTTGCATTAATCCTTAGAAGATCGAACGACCGCTTTGTTGACCGCTTTAAACGACTCTCTTAATCATAGCCGAAGCGACCACGCAATTATTAATAGCTCGTGCCAATTATCGGCGTCTCGATTGTCCCCGGACATCTGTTAACAAAACCTGCCCAACCGGGAGCCTTTCGATACCGTTAATTAGTCCATTAATAATCCATTTTGTTTTAGCGGATTAGACAGCGTCACCTCAAAGTATTGTATAACGTTGCTGAAGCAATTGGCGAAGTCGGGGCAGACGGTAATTTGCTCGATTCATCAGCCGAGCGCGTCGCTTCTGAGCATGATAGACCATCTTTACGTGGTCGCTGACGGATGTTGCGTCTACAGCGGTAGCACGCAGAATTTAGTGCCTTATTTGAGCAGCCTCGGACTGCATTGCCCGACGCATTACAATCCGGCTGACTATTGTGAGTAAATGAAAATCAGCCTCCCTCTCTCTCTCCCTCTCCCCCCCCTCTCTCTCTCTCTCTCGCGATACACGATCCATTCGAACTCGTGCCATATCCGTTCGATGCCGAGAGAATGCTAATGCATCATCGCGAGAGCGATCCCACCGTATTTGGTAAAGCGGTCTTTCTAATCTGTTATCCTCACCTTTTTCTAGTGATGGAAATCTGCAACGGCGATTACGGCAGATACGTGCCGGAATTGGTGGAAGCTATTGAGAATGGAAAAAATAACGCCTGGAGGTCGACCAGTAATATAAACGTCAATTGCCAGGAGGAAGTTATCGCTTTGAATGTAACAGCATCGTTCCAAGCGATGCGACAACGGCACCAGATGGAAATGGATCCTGCCCATTGCAAATCCAAAAGTTCCTCCGATTACGCTACCAACTTTTTGAAACAGGTGGCCATTCTACTGAAACGAAACGCCATTAAACTGTCCCGGGATAAGGTAAATCGTCAGGAAGAATAATTTGTTTGTCGAAACGTGGTATACTAGTCGAGACTCTCCTATGAAATCGATAACGCGAATTTCTTTCCTCAGGTATTAACATTCACGCGGCTGGCAATGCATTTTATAATCGCTCTGCTCGTTGGAACAATATACTTCAAGATCGGACAGGACGCTGTCTACGTTCTGGACAACTTCAATCTTCTCTTCTTCAACATAATGTTTCTTATGTTCAGCGCGTTCAGCGCGACCGTCTCAACGTGTAAGACTATAATTGCAACGGGACGTTGCTGGCTGATATGACCTGTTATTTGTTCCGTTCGCTTGGTCGTTTCGCCGACAGTTATTACCGTTTTATTGTTTACAGTTCCCTCGGAGTTGCCAATTATCACGCGCGAACACTTTAACCGCTGGTACAGATTGCCCTCCTTTTATCTCGCCAACAAGCTCGCCGACTTCCCGATACAGTTCGTGGCGATCTCCATGTACGTTCTCATAGTATATTACATGAGCGACCAACTGTTGGAACTCCGACGATTCTGTCTCTACGTTCTAATGTGCTTCGCCGTTAGCATGGTTGCTCAAACGATCGGTCTTTTAATTGGAACCGGAATGAAGTTGCAGGTCTGTATAAGCAACGAGTAAAGGATCGAGTCGCATTACCTGTTTGCCGTTCAGTTACAATCGATAGTAATTCAATGCTTCTGTTTCGTAATCTTAATGTTCCGTTAATATGTAGACCACTTTGTTTTCTTTCAGCATGGTATGATCTTCGGACCTCTTTTCATTCTTCCTTTCTTAATATTTAGCGGATTCTTTGTACAATTCAGAGACGCTCATCCGTATCTGCGCTGGCTGTTTCATTTGTCGTTTCTTAAGTACGGTTTTGAGGGTGTTATGGTTGCTATCTATGGGTAAGAACGCTTCAGTATTAAATCCTGTACCATCCCGGTCGCAATACAGGGTGTTCCAAAAATGTTTCGCAATCCGAAAGTAGGGGATTCCTGAGGTCGTTTGAAACAACTTTTTCCTTAGCAAAAATGCAATTCGAGGCTTCGTTTACGAGTTATTAACAAAAAACAGTGACCAATCAGAGACGAGATCATTCGGCGCGAGACGACCGAGCCAATGAGCGGAACTGGGCTCTGTGCGCTCGTTGGCTGGGCCGCCGCGCGCCAGTCGAGCCCGCCTCTTATTATTGGTCAGTGTTTTTCGTTAATAATTTGCAAACGAAGCCTCGGAGAAAATTTTCGCAAAGGAAAAAGTTGTTTCAGATGACCTCAGGAACCTCCCATTTCCGGATTGCGAGACATTTTCGGGACACCCTGTAGGTCGTTCCTCGAGGGAGAAATCTCGCGCGATACTTGGGAGAATTAGACGAAACAGATTTCTCGCCAGCAAACGCAAGCCTTCTCCCATAAAACTAGCAAAAAGGGTTACTCTTAATGTACCAATTAGATCAGTTAAACTCGAACTTACCAAACTCTGCTTCCATATTTTCGTAGCTGCTCTTAGATTATGCAGTTTCGACTATTTCTTAGTTGTTCTATTTTAATTCCAATACTTTCCTTGTTATTTATTTATTTTTTTCATCTTGCTCTGATAGTTCTCTGTCCTTCTTTCGCAATTGATAAACACACTACTGACCTAGTTCAGGTACTATATTATCTTTTCATTGATACGAATGTGAAGTAGCAGGCGCGCGCACGCGTGGGTGTCACCACCGATTAACAAATTCTGATGGTTAATCGGCGCAAAATGATCTCCTGTAATTTCAGTTACAACAGGCCGAAGCTTTCCTGTTCGGACGTCTATTGCCATTTCGCAGTGCCAGAGAAGCTGTTGAGCGCCGTGGACATGAAACAAGCCGATTACTGGTTCTGCATGATCGTTCTGACAAGCTTGTACTTCGTGTTGGACATCGGGGCGTTCGCGTTGTTGAAACTGAAATTGGAGAAACGTTTGTAAATCGTAAATGTTAAACTTAAAACGTGAGACCTCTATGAAATTAGATTTTCTACGGTTTAAATACGCGTTGTGTTCAGCTTAGTGCACATAGGAGAGTATAAACGAATTTTCTATTGAAAGACTGACCTTCTATTTGAGATATTTCGCGCAATGTAAAATGATGTATAACTTCGCCAAGACTGTTCGCCAAAAGAAAGCAATTACCGTTGCATTTATTGCACTTTGTTAAAGATGCGATTGATATATTAATATATATATATATAGATATATATAAATATAAATATATTATACAGTGTTATACATATATTGTATGCGCATGATAAACACACGTGCCACGATAGGTAGAAAAAATCTTCTTATCTCGAGATAGCACGTTATCGCGAATCAATGACATTCTCCCGACGATGTGTCTCGTTTTAAACGATAAGAGTTGATTTTTCCGTGTTTGTACGAATCACGTTGATATTGATTATAGCGCGCGCGAGAGAGAGAGAGAAAGAGAGCGAGAGAGAAATGTTAATATATTTTAGGAAATAATTAACTGTATCTTTTGTATTTGCATCGTCGTATTTAAAGGGAACATTAAATGAATTCAGACACACCCGAAAATCTCCACCAGTCTAGCGTTTTATTAGAAGTTTAATCACCGTCTCGTTACCACACAATAACGCCAAAGAGAAACTTCGTATAATTTTAACCCTTAACCGACCGGAAGTATTTCAAGTTTACTTTTCCCACCAGGTCAAAGTTATTTTTCAAAACAAACCAAGACCGAATTTGCATACGAATAACACAAAAGTATACTTACATGAAAACGGTAAAAGATAATGGAACATAGATAACAAGCGGAAACCTAATTCACAGAAATGACATGGCACAATATTTAACACTAAACCTGCCAAGCAGTAATACTAACTGGCGTGTACTGCTTCACAAAAGTGAGAAGACCGATTTTATTTGGAATTTGTAAAGTTTTGATTATAAAACTTGCTCCAATAATATAACTTATTCAAGCGTTTTCCATGTAAGAGTCTCGAAACTTTGCAGAATTGCAAAATAAGAAAGCGGTCACTTTGTCCGCGGTGGGTTTAGTGTTAACGCATTACTAGTACATGTAACAACAATGACAGCGATGAAAATAATAAGTCGGTTCTTGCCTGGGCCCGATTGTCATTGGGCCCTGTAAGTAAAGTACAATGCCGCTCATATGACGGCATTGGTCCATTAAGGGTTAAAAGACATTTGTGTGAGCCACGAGAGCACAAGAATCCGTGATCTACCGATCGAATTACTTGCGAGTCGAATCAAATCTTAACCGAGGGCGCACCGGTCACGGACACCTGGCTGCATGCTGCACCACCTGTTTACGATGTGCACCGTTTACCTGTCATTGCACCTCTGACGAGGTCATTGCTCCGATGCCGTGGCCCGAAGCGAAAAAAAATACAACGATCACGAAATATGTACAACGTTTTCTTTTCTTTTTTTTCGAAAATTATACCCTGCGTTCCACATCGTTTCATAAAGAAAATAAAGCGCAGCATTTTTAAATAAACGCGTATAGAATGCAAAAAACCGGCAAGCGTCGTTCCGAGAAAAGCAAAATCCTTGAACCGATCGCGTGCCAATTAACCCTCGGAGGACGGACCTCGTGGAGGCCAAGGCTGGATCACTTCTGACCCACGCCAAAATCAAGCATAAACAGAGTCTAAGGTGTTATTTCTTTTCTTGCATTTTACGAATACATTTATTACAGATTTTGTGATTACTATAAATAACTATAATACATAATGTGTTACTATAATATGCAATATATTTTATATATTATATTATAATATGAATAATTCTTTTCTTGCATTTTACGAATACGTTTATTACAGATATTATAGTTACTGTCAATAACTATTACATAATAATAATATGTAATATATTTTATATATTATATATTACACATAATAATAATAATATATTATATAACATAACAAGACAGTATTTACAGATTTCCTTACAAAAAGCTTTACAAACAATAATGAAAGAAAAATAGACAGAGAAAAAGAAGAACGCACCGTGACCCGCGAGGGTTGAACAAAGACCAGCTGACCACCGAACACGTAAATCTGAACGAACGTTTCGAGGAAATCCACTCGCTAAGATGGCGAGATTCATGATTCAGTTCGCGCGGCAAGAGCGAGCCCGTTTACCGAACATGTACGCTCCGGCCCGCAATTTCCGATTAGTATTGAAACGGCGAAGCTCGCATCTAATCGCGAATCAAGGTTAAATTACGAACGCAGTATAGCCGCGATATACAGGGCACGGGAATTACGCCGGCGAACCGGCGCGGCGGCGATCGGCAGTCGCCGGAGCGAGTTCATTCGTGTAGCATCAACCGGAACGTTCTGATCGAGATCGCGGCCCTTTCACTAAACAGTTGCACGCCGGCCGGGGATCAACAATCGCCTCTCTCTCCGCGATCTGCTTCGTCGTCGTTCGCTATGATCCAAGCATCCACGATCTAACAAGTCGGGGATTCGTAGACATATTCGACGGTCAACGAGACTATGCCTGGAAAACCTACGCGGCGGCTGTAAACAATGAGCTATTGTTGCGTGTGAAACGGTGAGTCCGAGACACGGAAATCCACTCGACGCGAATCTTATCGCAATTACTAGCACAGTTTAACGGGCTTGAATTGTACGTGACAGTTGGTGACAGATCTGAACAGTGGTTGGTGGATATAGTATGTATACATCATGTATAGTTGACCGCCGTTGCGCATTTTCGTGCCGCTCGCTTCCCGGCATTTCTCCGACATTTATTCAGCAGCGTACCGATAACTACACCGAGACAGTGCTTAATCTTTTGGACGTACCCCGCCGCGAGAAAATGCGCCGGAGATTTCGCGTGCGTCGGATATTTCGAGCGGCACGATCCGCGGCATCGAATTTCTTCGGGAGATCGCAACAATCGGTTGTCGCGCGTTTAAATACAGGGTGTCCCGAAAATGTCTCGCAAACTGGAAATGAGAAGTTCCTGGGATCATTTGAAGTAACTTTTTCCTTAGCGAGAATGCAACCCGTGGCTTCGTTTACGAATTATTAACGAAAAACACTGACCAATGAGAGGCGAGCTCGCCTTGCGCCAGCATATCTTACCTCTCATTGGTCACTATTTTTCGTTAATAACTCGCAAACAAAGCCGTGGATCGCATTTTCGCCAAGGACAAACTTACTTCAAATTACCTCAGGAACCTCCCATTTTCGGATTGCGAGACATTTTTGGGACACCCTATATAAATGAACAACCACGCCGCCAGAATGCGGGTCCCGTTCGACCGTAGACGGTCGTCGAGCCGTCAACGGAAAAATGTCACGCATTTGATAGCCGCTTCGAAGTTCACGCTTTAATCGATAAACAAGACGTGTCTCGCGTTAGCGAATGAATCTCATTGCGATTAATCGATGAACAGCATCGATCCGCGATCGTAGCTCGTCGCAATCCGAATCGCGATCGCAACGATTAAATACAAAGGAAACAGTATCAATTTTAACACTGGATTTACGGAACCGATCGAAATGACGGGTCACTAATTCTTTTTAATTTACGATTATTCGTATCGTGAAGATACATTTGTGAGTTATTTATTCAATTTATATGTTACTCACGGCAAATGTTACGATAAAAGTGTTAAAAATGTTAAAAATCAGAATAAACGTCTTATTGTCACTTTTATAAACTAATATAAAACAGCTGTTTTTGTTGTGCTCCGCAAATCTAGTGTTAAAAAACTAAAATAAACAACATGAGCGTTATAATACTCTCGCGATTAGTTAAACGCCGGCGGGCCGTTTCCCCTTTCGCCCCTCGATGAACTTCGAACGGCGACGGACCGATTATTATTTATATATTTTGACATTTGCAAAAAGGAAGAAAGAAACCAAGAAATCGCTCGATAAGCAAGCAATACAGAGCACAATAACAGCGCGCGTTTTTTTGTTCCTAAGATTTTTTCCTCCCTGAAGAAGATGAAACAGAAATATTTACACGTCGCAAATGAATGCAGATACGGAAGTTGTTTGGCATGCATGACATTGTACGGTCAAGATTTTTTTGTTTTAACACGTTGAATGCCACGCCGGTTTTACAGAAATTGCCCGTGGCGCCACGATGAATTTTCTTTTATGTGATACATATAATGTTGAAATATTATATGCAACAGATAAGTTACAGTGTATAACCATGTTTGGCATGTTAATTGCAACGGGGGTCACTGTTTGAATTGAATGAATAATAATAATAATTAAATTGAATGAATAGCACAAAATTTTAGATATTGACATTTGTTTTAAATTATATATATTTCTACCAATTTGGGCGCACCGGTCACCGGTGGCCCCCATAGCGTCACCGCGAAGTTAAGTGCCGGTCACCGGTGACCCTCGTGGCATTCAACGTGTTAACACGCAGAGAGGACTTGCAGACCGTATCGATGATTTATTTGCAGGTCGTAAATCCACGATCCACCGATATCCACGTTGGTAATACGTGCATACGTGCGAAACGTCGTCGCCGGCAGAAATATTCCTGCATAACCGCAACCCGTTCGAGCTCATCGCGCGAAATTTCGTAACGCGAAAAAAGCTGTTTACGGCGAGCAACGTAAGCATCGTAACTTGCGGAGCAACTTTCGCATTATTTTTCGAGCAACCGTTCGTATTCTTTATCGCGCAAATTACAAGTCGCCGGTTAAAGACAATGCTCGCGCATGTCCGTCGTCCGCTGGTTTGTATCGTTCCGGATGCAACAGCAACAGCTGAAAGTTTCTAATCTCGCGGAACGCGCGATATCGTTTATCCTCGCCTTGCAACAACAGCGGCGATCATATTTCTCCATTGGGAATTGACGAATACGGTAGAACTCCGTTTATCCGAACTCGATTTCTGCGAACGAAATTATATACATAATTATTATTATTATACAATTAATTTTATATAATATTATACAATTATTAATTATACGACGGGTTCTCAGCTGTTGCCATGATCGGAGGACTGTACCTTAATCGAACGCGTCCCGGTTCCTTTCGTATCAACGGTGTGCAGTAATTTCTCCGGGATTCGTCGAACTTCAGTATTCTCGGATTCGCGCTGTGATATCGCTGCGGCCCTGTAATTGATCGACTTTTTTGCTGCAGTCGATCAACAGGTATGGTGCGACACGTGTCGGGGCTCCTTGGACTTGAATTTCCGGATGACAACTCGTAATGCAATGACGTAACTTTTTTTAATTTTGATATTTTAAACCTGATTCTTGTTTTTAACGTATTGCTGATAATTTTCTGATTAAAATGAGACCAAACATGATACAGTTTGGACAAGTGTATTTCTAATTAAATATTTCTAAGGTTTTTTTTGTTATAATTACTATTTGTGCAATGGAATAAAATAAGTTACTTGCTACGTATTTGGTGTAAAGCGTGTTGTGTTTCTTATCATTTTAACTGGAAAAATCTGACGAATATATTAAAAACGTTTTCACATATAGAAAATTGGAAATAAAAAAGTTGGGTCATTGTTTTCATTCTAGCATTATAATGTTTGTAGTAATGTACACCGGCATGCTGGCCGCTGCCTTTCCAGGTAGTTTCGTTCAACCCGAGTTTCGCTCTCTCTCTCTCTCTCTCTCTTGCGAGATGTCAACAACTATGAAAACGAGACGCAAAGCTCGAAGAATTTTGCCTTAGTGTTTTCAGATTCCGACTAAAAATATTCCTGGAAGAAATTACTGTACTTAGTCAGGATATATAGTGATTTCGTATCTCTTCTTCAAGAATTTGTACGTAATCTGAGCGCTAATTAGAAGGAAATTACAGCAAACCGGTTGCCTGTCGACGAGTTCACGGAAACGGAATTTTAGTAATTCGAAACGCCGCTGGGACTGTTTTGTTTTCAGAGTTTCCGATTCGCATAAGGTACGCCGAGTAAATACTATGCGCAATCACCTTCCACCGGCCGTTTATCTCGTATGACTGATGGATCGACTGGTGACAGGATCCGATTAGCTAGCGGTGAACCGACAAGAACGAATCGTAATGGAGTCGGGCAACAATAACGACAGAATCGGCGAGATGACAATCAACGGTATCGAGGAAGAATGCACGATCGAAATGAAGGATGACCAGAGTCTCTTCGATCCTGGGACGCGATCCTTCTCGAAAATGTACGTCGAGTTCGAGGATCTCTCCTATGAAGTTTGCTGCAAGAAAGGCAAGTGATCTGCGCGTGCAGGAGATGCGCACGGTATACATACATTAGGGTGTACCAAAAATGTCTCGCAAACCGGAAACGAGAAGTTCCTGGGATCGTTTGAAGTAACTTTTTCCTTAGCGAGAATGCAACCCGTGGCTTCGTTTACGAATTAGTAACGAAAAACACTGACCAATGAGAGGCGAGCTCGCCCAGCGCTTGGCGGCCGAGCCAATGAGCGCGCGAAGCCCGGTTCCGCTCGTTGGCTCGTCCGCCTTGCGCCAGCATATCTCGCCTCTCATTGGCCACTCGTTTTCGTTAATAACTTGCGAACAAAGCCGTGGATTGCATTTTCGCCAAGGACAAACTTGCGTCATATTATCTCAAGAACCTCCCATTCTCGGATTGCGAGACATTTTTGGGACACCCTGTAGAGCCATGATCCTTGTTTCATCGTGACACAGCGCGTAGACGACGGGTGGGAACAGAAATGAAATCGAGGGATGACTCTTCGGAACTATTTTATTGTTCTCGAAAGAATAGGAACACGGAGGAATAAAACATACCCGGTGAACGAAGAAGAAAACATCGCGGTTTTCATATTCGATCGACAGCCGAGCCTGGAATAATTTGTTCGGAAAAATAGCGAAGATCGCGAACGGAATTGTGCGAGCTTTCGCGGTTAAATTGTTGATCTCGCAGAAGTATGATTCATCGAGGACAGGTCCTCAAGGACGTTTTACATGTTCCTATTGGCTTCGGTTATTAATTGCTGCATATCGACGGCGATCGATCGAAACCTATTGAAGACGATTATGCACATTTATAATTACATTGAACTATGATGCAACAATCGTCGATCCCTCATCGCGCCTTGAACCGTGTACGTTTCACGCGGACGACTGGATTTTTGCATCTTCCGTTCGCAAAGCGTACCCGTCGCACTTAGCAACCAATAAATTGTAGATGAATCGGGAAAACAATACGATCGAATAATTTCTCGGCGTAACGTGTTGTCGAGGTTGCAAACAGATTGCTTTTTGTTCCACGACAATCTACATCTCGGAGAAGGAAGATTTATTTTATACAGTAATTTTCCCCTGAATTCGCGCTCGGATTGCGCACAAAAATGCATAATTTTAGATACGATTATTAAAAGAAATAATAAGGGAGAAATAATTAATAATAATAATCAATAATAGTAATAAAATAATTAATAATAATAATCAATAATATTAATAATAATTAATAATAATAATAATCAATAATAGTAATAATAATTAATATTAATAATTCATAATAATAATAATTTAGAATAATATATATAATTAAGAATAATAATAATTGAGGATAATAATTGAGAATAATATATAATTGAGAATAATAATTAAGAATAATAATATATATATATATATATATATATATATATATATATATATATATATATATATATATAATAGAGAAAAATATATAAAAATAAAAAAAATTGAGNAAATGACGAGAATAATAATTAAAAATAATAATAATTGAGAATAATAATTAAGAATAATAATATTTAGGAATAATATTTACAAATAATAATAATAATAATTTTTGTTTTTATTGCGGGGCAAAATCAACAAAATTCCCGGAAGCGCATCCCCAACCTCGTTCGACATAACCTTGTTAAACTTATGAAACCATTTTTTCCAGGCAAGAAGCAAATTCTGAAGAACGTCACCGGTTGCTTCCGTCCAGGACGGCTAACTGCGATCGTAGGTCCGTCCGGCGCTGGGAAAACAACGTTGCTCGGCATCATATCATCCCTGAGATTGGCCAACGTGAAAGGCTCCGTCACCGTAAATGGCCGCTTATGCAACGCCGAGAATTTTCGCCGGCAAACTTGTTTCTTACCGCAAGAATTCGCATTACTGCCGCTGCTCACCGCGCGTGAAACTCTGTACATTGCCGCGCGATTGAAAGTTCAAGGCATCCGTGATCATCGGGCTTTTCATTTGATTGTAAGTTCACCTCGGGGCGGCGTCGACTTAATTCAAATATAATTGGATCACGGTGAACATGATTCTGTCGCTGTAGGTAGAACCGAGACTGAAAATTCTTAATTCTTCTGGTCCAGACCAGGTTTTCTCAGAGCTTGGTATATTATGTTCGATCCTCACAGCTGCAATCTTTTATCGAATGCAACATTCCACTTTGTTGTTTAATTTTTTGGATTTCTTGCAAGCAGCAAAGCACGGTATGAACTTCCAAAAAAATTGGAATATTCGCTTGCCATCATTTTAGCTGTTACTTGCTTTCCTATTATTTTGAATTTTTCACCCCTCAAAGATACGGGGTGGGATCTATATACAGGGTGTCCCAAAAATGTCTCGCAATCCGGAAATGGCGGGTTCCTCAGATCATTTGAAGCAACTTCTTCCTTTACAAAAATTTTCTCCGAGGCACTGTTAACGAGTCATTAACGAAAAACAGTGACCAATAAGAATCGAGTACGGCTGACGCGAGGCGGCCCAGCCAACCAGCGCACGAAGCCCAGTTCCGCTTATTGGCTCGGTCGCCTCGCGCCAGCTGAGCTCGTCTCTCATTGGTCACTGTTTTTCGTTAATGACTCGTTAACAGTGCCTCGGAGAAAATTTTTGTAAAGGAAGAAGTTGCTTCAAATGATCTGAGGAACCCGCCATTTCCGGATTGCGAGACATTTTTGGAACACCCTGTATACCGGCATGCTGGCCTCTCTCACGAGGGGTCGCCACGAGGCTTGAAGAATCATGCCTCAGTATTCTCAGATCGGCATGTTTCGATTCCGACCAAAAACATTTCTGGGAGAATAACTGTAATCATTTTTGACACGAATGCGTGATGAGACGTTAAAAAGTCCACCCATGAGATATTAAAAAATGTCGCTCGGTTGTTATGACAGTGTTCACCCATAAAACATCAGATCGCGTATACGCGTGCAACGCCGATGGCTAAAACAATAATTACGATGCAATTGTATATGTTCGATCAGATCGAGGAAATAGCAGACAATCTGAACCTGTTGAACTGTTTGGACACGTTGGTGGAGAATCTGAGCGGCGGGGAACGCAAAAGGCTGTCGATAGGAATAGAAATGGTGACGAGACCGTCGCTGTTGTTGCTCGACGAACCAACCAGCGGCCTTGACAGCACTTCCTCGTGGCAGGTCCTTTACAATGAATAATATATGTTGTGTAGTAAATCGCAGACGATAAACTGCACCGGCAAGTTCTGTTTTTCTATATTGACCTTTTCCGTCTTGACTCTGAAAGAAGTTCCTTAATATGCAGCATTACAATGAGGAACATCCACAGTCCAACGATTGGAATGGGACGAGCGAGAAAAAAGATTTCAACGAAACCATTTTGCACAGGTGATCAGTTTACTGCATAGAATGGCGAGATTCGGCTGTACAGTTGCCTGCACCGTCCACCAACCCAGCAGTCGGATGATATCGAAGTTCGACGACCTGTTGGTCGTTCACGAGGGAAAGTCGTTCTACTGTGGCCCATGGGACAATGTTCTGAGCACCTTCGGCAAGGCGGAATACGTCTGTCCACAATTTTATAACATCGCCGAATTTGGTAATCCGCCAAGTCGGAACACGATTGGCTGCGGTTAGAATCGCGGTGGCGTAAATCAGATTTTCGAAAATTTTCACTTACGTCTTAATCCTTTGCGGACACCCTTTTTATTAATTTATTAACACTATGCCGTCCGGTGGCACCACGCTGGTGCCAAGCAAAAACTATCTGTTATATGCCGGTGGTACCACTTTGGTGCCATTTTAAAAAACTGAAATAACATTTGAACTATATTTCTTGGGTGTTAAAAGGCAGCAGACTAACTATAGCATTGTGCTTATTTAACTACGAATTAAGTACGAAAATTCTTGGATGACTGATCTTAATTTTAGGAATTTATATTACCGCCATCTTCGAAATTTTTTTTAAAATCTAAAATTCCCAAGCTATTATGCTGGCGTCAAAAAAAGAATCGTATCTAAGATCTGCGGACGGCATAGTGTTAATTATTAATATAAATTTATTGATTTAACCGTAGGTTCAGAACGAATTTTAGTTTGACGAGTCAGTCTTTCTGTGTCACTACCAGAGAAACCAGTATAAAGTTTTACACATATTTATAATCTTATAATAATATAATTATATCTTATAACATTTTTATTCTAAATCCAATACCTGCCGTCCACAGCGACGCAATACCCGTCGAGCGGCTTCGTCCGCAAAGGGTTAAAATGTAATTTATACATTCGTTCGTTTATACTTTTGTTCGAAAGAAAAGTCGAATAAATTGTAGCTTAAGCAAAATCGATTATAAAGTTACTATAAATTATCTGAAGAATAAATGATCTGAACAATGAATTTAGTCGGTAAACAATACACATGCGAGTAAACGATGGAGCTCCTTGTTTCTAACAATGAGAAAAATGCGACTTACGCCACTATCATTCTGACCCACTCAATTGAACGAGTCCAACACTAAGGGTCGACCGTGTTACAGTTTTAGAGGTCGTGACCGCCGAGAGAGGTGGAAACTTGGACTGCTTGTACGACACAAGTCACGAGACCTACGAGAAATGGAAAACATCGGTTCGACATCCCAGAATGAGTACTTCAAAGCAATTTGAATTATAAGGGGGTCTCTTATATTACCTAGGTGGATCGAACATAACGATGTTCCAAACAGTTTTACAGTAAAGCCTCCCTAATTGACGCTCAGATTGTGCACATAAATGGACAATTTGGGAAGAGGAGATACGATTATTCGAGCCTTGCGGTTTGTTTTTATAATTACTGATTATCAACAATTAAACAGGGTGTCCCAAAAATGTCTCGCAGTCCGAAAGTGGCGGGTTCCTCAGGTCACTTGAAACAACTTCTTCCTTTACAAAAATTTTCTCCGAGGCACCGTTAACGAGTTATTAACGAAAAAGAGTGACCAATAAGAATCGAGTTCGGCTGACGCGAGGCGGCCCAGCCAACTAGCGCACGAAGCCCAGTTCCGCTCATTAACTCGGTCGCCTCGCGCTAGCTAAGCTCGCTTCTCATTGGTCACTGTTTTCGTTAATAACTCGTTAACGGTGCCTCGGAGAAAATTTTTGTAAAGGAAGAAGTTGCTTCAAATGACCTGAGGAAGCCGCCACTTTCGGATTGCGAGACATTTTTGGGACACCCTGTAGAAATGAGCTGCAAGGCTCGAATAATCGTATCGCCTCTTCCCAAATGGTCCATTTATGTGCACAATTCGGGCGTCAATTAGGGAGACATTGCTGTAATTCGACGGCATCGCTTCCATATTTTCCGGAAATTGTATTCAAGCGAAGAATCATTTTTCAAAGTTGAAGCTCGTGTTTCTTTTCCATGAAGTTGGTGTATGAGACCTCTTCGATGCAATGATAACAGTTATTCATTCCGATCAACGTTTCAGACTCAGACGTAACGGACGCGCCAGGAAGTGAAAATGGCGCGAAGAAGTCGAAGTCGTCCATGTCGCAAGAGTTGAAGGTGTTGCTAATGAGAGGAATGATCTGTAACAGACGGGACAATGTTAGTACAGTTATACCCGACGCGTTAATTAATCGTACACTCGAATTGTGTGTTTCAGTCTCATTATCTACGCTGTGTTATGTTTTTTTAACCTCTCTATACGTCGCCTAATTTTGCCTTCAGACGCTGACCAAGCTCAGATTCGCCGCGCACGTGGTAGTTGGTTTATTACTGGGCGCCGTGTTTTACGATACCGGTGGCAAAGCTGACAGAGTCAACAGCAATATTGCTTACGTATTCTTCGTTCTGCTCTTCTTGTATTTCTCGAGCTCGATGCCATCCGTATTAATGTGTAAATTCGAAGTTTACCAACTTGTTGGAAGAGGGCCTGTCGTCCCGAGTAATTAACATGTACATTGTTTGCAGTTCCTATAGAGGCCGTTGTATTCTTGCGTGAATATTTGAACAATTGGTACCGTCTGAGATCTTACTACATAGCAAAGATTACGTCGGATTTGCCATTGCAGGTAAAATTAATGTCAATTTGAATTACAGAAAAATTGTATGAATAGTTATTGCATTATTATTATTATTATTATTATTATATATTTATGTACAGATTCTCTGTCCCACCGTGTTCATCGTCATAGCGTATTACATGACCGGCCAGCCTCTAGAATGCAACAGGTTCTTCCGTATATGGTTTATTTGTACTCTAACGACCATCTTAGGACAATCGTCAGGCATGCTCGTCGGCGTTGCCTTCGATCAACAAGTAAATCGTTTATCACAGCGAGCTCCCATGATTTAATTGTACATAGAATAGTGAAACTTGTCCCGATCCATGATCAACTAATTTCGTTCGATATTTTCAGTTAGGAGTATTTCTGATTCCTGCCGTCAACATGCCCATGATCCTCTTCGCCGGATTTTTCTTGAAATTCAATGAAGTGGCGCAATTCCTGCAACCACTGTGCGTAATCAGTTTCTTCAGGTACGGTGGTGTAAGCTATACTAATTTTTATAAACAGATCGTCTCTCGCTCGCTCTCTCTCTCTCTCTCTTTTACTCTTAAGCGTGACCCTCAAAATAACTTTTTTAATTGTGTGCCGAGTGCAGTAAATTCCCCTTAGTCAATCCTCAGCTTGTACACAATATGATACGATTATTCGAGCGTTTTATAGTTGCCGATTGAAGTTGCCGATTGTCGGCAATATTCGTATCTCCTGTTCCCAAGTTGTCCATTTTGGTTTACAAGCTGACGGACAATTGTAGAGAACTTACCGTATACAGTAAATTCTCCCTAATTGACGCTCAGATTGTGCACAAAAGTGGACAATTCGGGAAGAGGAGATACGATTATTCGAGCCTTGCGACATGTTTGTATAGCTATTGATAATCGTTTAGTTATTGCTTATAATTTTGTTCGTACGTACGAATATTTTCTTCCAAATGTTTTAATCAATGCCGCGGTCAAAACAACTACAGTAATGTCTCTCTAATTGACGCTTAGATTGTCCGCAAAAATGGACAATTTAGAGAGAGGAGATACGATTATTCTCGATCCTTGCGGTTCATTTTTATAGTCACGAATTGTCAGCAACTATAAAAACAAGCTAGAAAGCTCGAATAATCGTATCTCCTCTTCCCAAATTGTCCATTTTTCTGCACAATCTGAACGTCAGTTGGGGAGACATTACTGTATTTCGACCAGTTACAAAACTATTTGTACTTGCAGGTACGCGTTCGAAGGTATTCTGCAGGCACTTTATGACGGGGGGAGGGAGAAGTTGCCGTGCTCGAAAATCTATTGTCCGCTACGTTCACCGATCAGTATTCTAGACTCCTTGGACATGCCAACAGTTCCATTTTACATGACTATAATTGCTCTGTGCATCTGGATAGCATGTCTGCAGGTCGCCACTTATCTAGTACTGAAGTGGAAGGCGCACAAAGCACAGAGATAAAACGTTGATAACTTTTGATAAAAAGTGACTCTAGTTCGAGCAACATTACCAAGTAATTATTACGTCGTCTACGTAAGAGACTCTCCGACGTCACTCTCCAACGAATAATCATTGTATTTTTAATCGCGGATTTTAACTCGTATTTTTTTATAATTGTACAACGATTTAAGCCGGAGCTGAAAGTTCTTGCTTGTATTTAAGGAACAAACTATAAGAATATACTTACATATATTCTTTTAGATTAGATTTAACACTAAACCTATACCGACATTTTGTATATACGTATATCAATTTTTGCTCAAAGCGGTCACAAATCATTGGTTTTCTAAATAAATGTTATATCCTTTTCCAATTGATTGCAAACAACAAACAATTCGGCAGTCGCATTTCAGAAACGATGAGGAATTTATTGCGTCTCGTTCCGTGCCGATTTTGACGCGCATTTAGTACGACGCGTGGTTACAAATTAACACGCTGATAATTTAGACATCACTCTTCAAAGTATGTATGTCCTCTATCTTCGAACGCGTTCTCCATGGTTGGAAAACACGAGTAATGCGCGTTACGAACGATGGGTTATCGCGCTTGTCGATAAGCGTACAACAAAAATGGGGTTCTCGTTGTGTCAAAAGAATTTAAGATTGTGGCTTCAGCATTTCCGTGTATGTACAGTAACGACCTGAATGGCTCTGAATGCGAGAAATGCTTCGCATTGGCGCGGCCTTCCTTTTTGTAAATTATAGTTCAAGTTTTTATAACAGGTTTTTGTACAAAGTTTGTAAAACGGTTTATAAAAGAGTCTCCTGAAAGAAGTTAAAAAATATATATATGTATAAATAAGTAACAAGGCACATTGTAACCGATGAATTATATTTTTGGTCCCATCAGTATAAAAATCTTTTATACAAGTTTATAAGACAGTTTATAAAAGAGTCTCCTGAAAGAAATTAAAAAAAATATATATATAAATAAGTAACAAGGCACATTGTAACCGATGAATTATATTTTTGGTCCCATCAGTATAAAAATCTTAACAAAATAATTGTATAAAAACTCCTTAAATACGTGGCTGTGAATTGGATCCATGAATTAACCCTCGGACGGTTAGCCTCGCAACGACACAATCGACGATGCCTGTTCGCAGCTTTTTGCATCCATTTCTCAACGTCCTCCTTTTTTAGAGGAGACACTTCTCGTAAACCTACTAGTCTTCGTTCAATTGCCGAGACACGAGCAATTAATGAACGATTTAAATACACCGAGTCTAAACGAGCCCCGACGACCGCGGTCCGAGGGTTGAAATAATGAAGAAGCTCGGTCGATGATAACAATGTTTTACGAAAAACCGCGTCTCTTAAAACGACGTTAAACCCTGTGTAGTTATGTACAACGCTAGCCGCAACGCGCGAAGAACTCGTACGCGTCGCCAATTGATTTTTCGTTGAGCAATCCTTAAATATCACGTTCGATCACCGAAAGACAGCTTTTCGGAATAATATCACCTTAGATTACACTTAATCCTCTATACAGTTTGTAACACTTTCATCGATCGATCTCTTGCGACAGCACGAATAAAAAATATCTTCTAGATCGCAAAAGACTAACGCGAATCTCTCGCGTTTCTTGCCGCAAGCATCTCGGAAACATTTCTGAATCATTATACAGGGTGTCCCGAAAATGTCTCGCAATTCGGAAATGGGAGGTTCCCGAGGTCATTTGAAGCAACTTTTTCCGTTGCGAAAATTTTCTCCGAGGCTTCTTTTACGAGTTATTAACGAAAAACGCTGACAAATAAGAGGCGAGCTCGGCTGACACGCGGCGGCCCAGCCAACGAACGCACGGAGCCCAGCTCCGCTCATTGGCTCGGTCGTCACGCGCCAAATGATCTCGCCTCTGATTGGTCACTGTTTTTCGTTAATAACTAGAAAACGAAGCCGCGGATCGCATTTTCGCTAAGGAAAAAGTTGCTTCAAACGACCTCAGGAATCCCCTACTTTCGGATTGAGAGACATTTCTGGGACCCCCTGTACATATTCCGTCTCTGGAACCATTTTATACACTGTCTGCGTTCGTTTTCTCTCAAAAATTCGTTGTTCGCGTTCGCAGTACGAGTAACGCGTAAAGCTATTAACAATTTAAATGCCTTAATAATTACAATAGCCATTGGTAACTAACGTTTAGCACGCAATCGTTGGTCCAATCCTAACAGCAACCGGCTGGTCGAAAACAAGGAAACATACCGAAACAACGTCGACTTGAAATCTACAGAAATGAAAAATACAGAGTTTCACTGCTCGGTGATGTAAGCGTATTGTCGGACGCTTTTTCTTTTCTTTTTTCTTTCTTTTTTTGTATGTTCCCTTGCGAGTCGACGTTAACAAGGCTCTCGAAGATATTGCAGAATACATTTTAGCCGCGCACCAAGCTGATCTCGCGCCTTCGATTAAATTATGCTAACTACCGCGTGAAACAGAAGAAGAAAAATGATAGATTTCTTTCGCATCGTCTCTGCCTACAACCGTCGATATATGTTACGCATTAGTATCACGATGGACAGTCAAGATACAAGGTCACTCTTAGGATCGAGATTTATCGCAGAGCAACGATCTTCAATCTGAGGAGAAGATAAGCGCTGATTCGCGTTAAGATAAGTATCGTGACCAGTGCCGCTATGTCGTTCCAGAACTGACTCGCGTCCATGGTGATGTCCGACAGGAATTTCGACGGATATTTGTAATGGCAGTAGAAGTTCGTGTTCCCTTTGCAGTCTAACAGCGGCCGATTGTAGCCGTATATGGCACATATGAACCTGTGAATTAAAAGACAGTTTATTGTCGCTTAACGTTGCCGTTGTCTCGTTTCTTGCAATTGCTGCAGAAAAAGAGCGGTAGGGTGGATGCACCGGTTGCGGCCAGAGTGCAGCTTTTTTGGCCATCTATATTATTGAATATACTAGTAAATATTAATGTAATATAAATGCATAATGTAATAATATAAATTACAAATATAAATACTAGTAATACTAGTATTTATAACGTTTCCAATGTAATATTCGCTGGTACATTAAATTATTTACTAGTATTTATTCTATTAATACTAGTAAATATTACTAGTATTTATTTTATTAATACTAGTAAATGTTACTAGTATTTATTTTATTAATACTAGTAAATATTACTAGTATTTATATTACAGTAGTATTACTGTAATATAAAATAAAATTAATGTACCAGCGAATATTACAGTGGTCTTTATTATTATTATTAAGATGTTACATTGTTATGTGTTATGTCAATTTATGTTATGTTATCCTGTTGAAGAGTAGATATCGAAGCTAAAGTTATCAACTGATCTGTTAAAACTTGTACACATTCTATGCAATTTAAAATTTAAGAATATTAAACATCCAGTACGTCTACCCTAATCAGAAATTGTCGTGACGGCGACAACAGCCAATAAGTCAGCTGATCCGCGACCGCGATTAGGGGAGAAACGAAGCAACAATAGGAAATGTTACCCTTCCAGGCCATATCGCAGGAAGCTGACGTACGTGCCCCACTTCAGATAAATCGGTATATCGCCTAATGAGACACCGAATCCGGCGAACATCATCAATGGCACCGATAACGTCGGCCCCAGGAACGTCCCATTCTGAAATCGAGGATTTTTCATGTCACCGGCGATAGTTCTTCTTCTTTATTTTACGCGCAACGGACGGTAACGATGCTGTCATCAATACCGAAGAGCAGCAAGCGCACTTACAACTACGTCGAATACTGCTCCGATCATGAGACCGGTTCCTTGGCCTATAAACGCTATCAGCAAGCTGATCGCGAAGAACATCGAGAACCGTGTGATCTCGAGCGGTTGGGACGTCAGGAAGTACACTATCACCGTGAAAATTAGGCAGCAGAACACGGAGAGCGGCAGATCGATTAACGTTAGGGACGTGTAGAACGCTTTCAGGCTGTACCATCTGTTGAAGTGCTCCTTCAGCAGTATGCTCATTTGCATGGGGACTAGAAACGGAAACAATGGAAATAATATGTATAAAAATGTAATAAATATAAATGTGATAAAAATATAATAAATATAAATGATAAGAGTATAATAAATATAAATAATAAAAATATAATAAATATAAATAATAAAAATATAATAAATATAAATGATAAAAGTATAATAAATATAAATAATAACAGTATAATAAATATAAATAATAAAAATATAATAAATGTAATAGAAATGGAAATAATATTCCCACTACCAGGTGGAAATATCGAGGTCGAAAGGTCATGGAAGCAGACGGCGGAACCGTTCGACAGAACAGACTTACAAGTGACTATGGTGAGCATCATCGTGGTCATCATGTGATGTATTAGAATGGAAAATAGGAGATTGTAGTTGTCCAAGACTCGGGCACCGTCCATGCCGGTCTGAAGGAACACGGAGCCGAGCATTAAACCCACAGATATGTTGACCATGATCCGCAAGTGTGTCAGAGTCTGCGATAATACAATGATTGTAACTTGTTACAACAGGAAACAGCGTGCAATAATATACGAACAAAACGTTAGCATTCATTGTATAATATCCTATCAGGAATTGTACGTTCTAACGCTTGTATCAATTATTTTACGTTTTAATGTTTATATCAAGAATTTTATGTTCTAACGTTTATATCAAGAATTTTACGTTTTAATGTTTATATCAAGAATTTTATGTTTCAACGTTTATATCAAGAATTTTATGTTTTAACGTTTATATTAATAAACGTCGTTAATAATTAGAAACACCAGTTCTCCAAAGACTGCTTCAAAAATTTTTGAAACAGTTCGAAACAAGCGTCTACCTTGAACATATTCTTTAATTTGTTTTTAAATTTTCAATTTCTTTTATAATGTTAAACTCCGAGTTTCAAGCGGCTCAATTTGCACGTTCGCAATAATCGGCAGCGTTGCTCGATGCCTGTACATGCGTGCAGCATTTGTCGCGTTTAATAGGCGCACGATAATAACATAAATAAAGACGCGGTTCGAGAGAAAGTTAGGTCAACTGGCCAGCCGTGCCAACAGGTAAACACAGGATAGCTTCGTCCGGTTCAGCGACGCGGAATTTCAGCCAACCGGCTATTAAAATGCGATTTCATGGATAATGCGGGCCTACCGTGTCCCTCTTCGACTTGAGGAAGCCTCTGCGCATTAGGATCTTGATCTGATGCGCCAAAGAGGTCGCTTGCAGACTGTCGTTATCGTCCGCGTCGATGTTCTTCCTCGAGGGATGCAACGCTGCAACAAAAAGAACAAGGTTATGTCAAGGTTATTGC